CCATCATGCGGCACACTCAGGTCTCGAACTGCTGAACTACCAACCATGGTCTTGAACTGCTGAACTACTGACCATGGTCTCGAACTGCTGAACTACCGACCATGGCTCTAACAGTCAACTTGAATGCAACCCATCATCCAATTATGCCAAAACTTTTAATGCATATCTTTTAATGCAATTTATGCCCACTATTTTTCATCTGTCCTGTAAAATATGTAAGATTAAGCTCTTAGAGAGATTCACTGATGACCAAGCCAGAAAATTTTCTGTTTTTAAAGAGTATACTTTGGGGAGGGGGGGGGGACAGTGCATTTTTGTACACTGCTCTTTCAATGAAAACTTTTACAAAGATTTGCCCTGTGGAGATGACACAACCAGTGGAAAGTACCATCAAGTCGCATCACAGTTATGGTGACCCCACAAAGTTTTTAAGGCAAGAGACATTCAGAGGTGGTTGGCCGTTGCCTTCCTCCGTGGAGCGACTTCCTTGGTGGTCTCCCATCCAAGTACTCACCAGGGCCGACCCTGCTTAGCTTCTGAGATGTGATGAGATCGGGCTAGCCTGGGCCATCCGAGTCAGGGCATGCAGTCATTCATTCTCCAAATTTAGTTATGCACTATTTATCTTTGCCCTGACCTGGGGCCACCATAAGTTGGCTGAAACGTGCAGGCAGCAACAACAAATATTTATAATTATTTTGAAAAACAAGTCATCATTAGTGAAAAGCTGCTTTCACGGAAGCTGGAAAAAATCACGGCAAAAGGTACTTACTTTTGAAGGCAGGATACATGGGGACAACATTTGTTATTAGGAAAGCATCGTATTTGGCTTCCGCCGAGGAACTTAGTTCTGGAAATAAAGAAGTTAAAATATCCCGTCAGAACTACTTGCAATAGTTTAGCAAACCTCTGTGTACATACAGACGGGGCTGGATGCTGCGGGATTAGTGAGAGTTTCTACTCACTCTAGAGATACTTTAAGGAAAGGTGCTAGAGCGGGGGTGTCAAACATAAGGCCCGGGGGCCAGAACTGGTCCATCCAGGGCTCCTACCCGGCCCGCAAGCAACTGGTATGTATGGAAATGTAAGGTATTCCCCCTTTTATGGTATCCCTTGGGGGGGGGACTTATCTTGCATATGATTAAACACATTTATTGGGGCTTTTGTGGGTTCCCTAGTAAATCAATTGCTTTCACTGCCAGGAATCAATTGCTTTTGTTTGTATTTTGAGTAAAAGAATATATTGTTAATTGGGTTTGCCTGGGTCTTTTATAAAGCTTATATCTCCAGTACCTGGCATTACATTTTATGGCACACATGGCTCAGCCCAACAAAGTGACATTTACATCAGAACCAGCCCCCGTAACAAATGGTTTCACAGCTCTGTTTTAGAGGCTCAGAATAGCCCTCTGCCTTATCCCAAGAAGTCACTACCTCAAGAAGGACGAAGATGTGTGCTTCTAGTACAGGGGTCCTGTGATGTATTCAATAGCTACCAATGGAATACATAACTGTATGTGAACCACCTCACTGAAGTGCTATGTTAAGCTTCGTCCTGGGCTAGGATCCTAATCCCTCCAATCCTATTGGTAGCCCAGGAAGAACCAACCAATCACATGCCATCAAGCTCCCTGAGCGGGAACATCCGTGATTGGTCCTTATGTGAACAACCGTATTGGTTGGTATTTGTACAGTGGGTGTGGCTACACCGGGAGAGTTTAAAAGTGGAACAGCTTCAATGCAAAAGCTGTTCTGGCTATCCGAGTTGATCTGTGTTTGAGTTTGAGTTACGAGTTGCTAAATAAAGCTGATCTTTGCTGAATCACTCTCTGACTCGTTTGTTAAGTGGCTGACTTAACAGGTCCCCAACGTTCTGAGCCTGTGGGCACCTATGGAATTCTGAAACAGCATGATGGGTGCAGCCACAAAGTGAGCCAGTTTGGTGTAGCAGTTAAGTGCATGGACTCCAATCTGGGAGAACCGGGTTTGATTCCCCACTCCTCCACTTGCAGCTGCTGGATGACCCTGGGCAAGCCATAGTTCTCTCAGAGCTGTCCTTGAAAGAGCAGTCATCGAAAGAGCTCTCTCAGCCCCACCTACCTCACAGGGTGTCTGTTGTGGGGAGGGGAAGGGAAAGGAGTATGTAAGCCACTCTGAGACTCCAAGTGAAGGGCGGGGTATAAATCCAGTCTCCTTCTTCTCTTTTGTCACAAAATGGCTGCTGCAGGAGGTGGAGCCAAAGTATCTGACCAAGGGAGCTTTGCCTCTTGAAAGCTCATACCCCCAAAAATCGTGTTAGTCTCTAAGGTGCTACTGGACTCAAATCTAGCTGTTCCAAATGTTTCTTAGAAGATTGTCCTGAGAGCCTTGTTGAGTACCTAGCCTATCAGAGCTTGGAGAAGGCGAGTCCTCTCAACTGAGGAGAGGAAGAAGGGGGTTACTTATTGTGGTAAGAAATTTTAGAAATAGGGAAGGTTTGGGTTTAAAATGAACCAAATAGTTTATAAAATCCATGTACCTATCTCTGTCATTGCTAGAAAAACAGCTGATAGCCATGGCCTGTTTCACTAAACCAGGCCATGATTCTTTGCAAGCCCTTTGTTCTAGGCAGAGCATTCCTCTCAGTGTACTCAAAAATTCACAACATTCCATTCCTAGGAAATTTCCACAGGTGTGAGACAATAACCAGCAATAAACAGCAGCTGGAAGGCCATTTGAAGAATGACAGACTTCAATCCAAAAGACAAACTAACTTCCTGAGATACAGAGATTTCACACTCCCCGCTTTCATCTCAGAGATAACATCAAGGGACAGTTTATTTCCCATGTGGGAACACCAGGAATAAACAATGACACTGTATTGATCCTGTAAAATGTAAGTTTTGTTGTGTGAAACCAAGGAAGCAACACCAGTAAACCAATTTCAACTTCTAAATTGTTAATTTACAACTGTAAGGGACCTCTTTGGAACATTTGGCATAAATACTGGTAAAATCCAACAGACCGTCCTTGGCTCTTGAAAGATCAGGAGGGGCTTAGCCTCCTGAGAATTTGGAGTCAACCCGAAAGGGCCCTTTCGTTTCTTGCATGCTTTGGGTGAGATACTTTGCTTGCATGTTCATTTTTCTGTGTGTTTTACTATCTATATTTTTAAATAGAAGTGTATTATGTTGGCAAGCTGGCACAGCGTCTTGCTGGTCACCTTGTCAGGTAAACTTTGAATGCTGGTACTTTTAATAAAAAGATAGGAAGAGACCCTTTGCTTTGTGTGTCTCTGCCAGCGCTTAGCGTTTTCAAACTTGCACCTTTCGCCTTTGGTGAGGAGGCAACACTCAGGGAACACGAACCAAAGGGTGTGTGTGTGGGGACACACATTTTTCTCACAACACTTATGTATAGAAATGGCAGGTATGGAACAGAAACAAACAGACGCTGCTGTCGATTAGTTGAAGCACCTTGGCATGTAGGATTTCTCTCTGGGGATGTGATATGTGGCATGTTCTCTCCCATACAGTCACATCCCTACTTCAGAACCCAGTCCAAATCTCCAGAATACTCATATGTTTACGCAGACACGTGCACATGCACATCAAAACCGATAAGACTTTGTGACCACACAGCTTACGGGGAGGAAAAAGGAATCCGTAGGACATCTGCCTGTCCACTCTGTAGGGTGTGCAACTCTGGCTATTGCTTGGAGAAATGCGCAAGTCCGGTCGTACGCAGTTCACTAGCTGCTCTGGAACACCAGATACTTCTGCCTGAAAGGTGAAGGGGGAAAATATATATATATATATAAGCTAAATACAGGAGGGGAAATCGCTAGAAGCATATTGCTCGTTCAATAGCCCAGTGTTTTTACCCGGGGAGAGCTAATGTGGTCTAGCAGTGAGACTGACAACTGAATGTGGACCTGACAAATGCTAGCTCCACCCATGGATTTGTTGGCTTGCCTTGGGCAAATCAATAATACCTGTGAAGCCAAAGCTACAAAGAGTCTTGCAGCATCGTATATTGCTTACACTGCAGTAATTTTTTTAGTCTTTATGGTACTGCAAGACTCTTAAGTTTTGGTTGCTCCAGGCTATTGGAGCGATGCCTCTGGAATTGATAAAGAAAGTAGATACCATACGGACTTACAGAATAACATTTTTTGGCAAGTTAAGGAGTCACAGTTTTCAGTTTGCACACTGCTAAGTGTTGTACTACATTTTGTACTATATAGCAGATGTGCATCTTGTTATGATAACAAACAGGACTAGGGAGTTGTTTGTTTGTTTGCTTGCTTTTTAAGATACTGCAGTACTCTGTCTCCAGCAGTTTCAGAAGAGTGGCTAGCAAAAAAAATGGTACCAATTGGCCCATTCTCTTTTGACTGGTCTCACCCTGGACAGAATGTAGCAAGCCTCTGAGAGCCCAATTAATGCGTTGTATTTGGGTGTATGGTTTTTGTTTTGTTTTTGGTTGTTTGTTGCCATCAAGTCACAACTGATTTATGCAAGAGACAAACAGAGGTGGGTTTGCCATAGCCTGCCTCTGCATAGCAACCCTGGACTTCCTTGGTGGTCTCCCATCTGAATTATAACCAGGGCTGACCCTGCTCAGGTTTGGAGATTTAGCCTGGGCTGTCCAGGTCAGGGCTTGGTACACATAGGTAAAGGTTCCCTTGCTCGAAAGCCAGTCGAATCCGACTCTAGGGTTGCGGTGCTCATCTCCGTTTCAAAGCCGAAGAGCCAGCGCTGTCCGAAGACGTTTCCGTGGTCATGTGGCCGGCATGACTAAACACCAACACTGTTACCTTCCCACCGAAGTGGTACCTATTTATCTACTTGCAATTTCTTGCTTTCGAACTGCTAGGTTGGCAGGAGCTGGAACTAGAAACGTCATGTGGCAACCCGGGTCTCGAACTGCTGAACTACCGACCTTCCACAGCCTGCAGTTCAGCGTCTTAACCACTTGAGCCACCGCAGATACAAAAGACCAGGGCTTTTTTGATGTTGTTGTTGAAAAAGAGGTGCTGGAACTCTTGAGAGGGAAATGAAGTTTTCAATCTGTATACTGAGAACTCATGAACTTTTAAACATTTTAAAAAATGATTTTGTCAAAGAAATTCTACAATTCCATTCCGGTGCATTCCCCCAGGAAAAAAGCCCTGCAAAAGACACGTCCAGTATGAATGGTGCACACATGCATTTTTGGCTTGGCTCCATATGTGCCAGGAAGCACCGGAGGGGGGCGGGAATTATACCGTTGGCCTCAACAGTTGAGGAGTAAAGAACAGGGTAACCAAGATGATTAGGGGGTTGAAGAACCTTTCCTGTGAAGAAAGGCTGAAGAGGCTGAAGATGACTAAGAAGACACATGATAGAGGTTTATGAAATTATGCATGGGGTAGAGAGAGTGAACAGAGAGAACTTTTTCCTTCCAAAATAGAGAACTCAAGGGCATCCAATGAAGTTGACGGGCAGGAGATCCAGGACAGACAAAAAGAAATACCCTTATGAGTGAATTCACTGCCGGAGGGTGTAGTGGTATATCGATGGCCACAGGCATAGACAGCTTTAAAAGGAGATTAGAGTGGACAAAGAGAACTTTTTCCTCCCTCTCCCAAAGACTAGAACTCGGGGGCATCCAATGAAGCTGATGGGCAGTAGATGCAGGACGGACAAAAGGAAATACTTCTTTAAACGACAAGTGATTAAAATGTGGAATCTGCTGCCGGAGGATGCCATAAGCATAGATGACTTTAAAAGGGGATCAGATAGATTCATGAAAGGATAAGTCTATCAGCAGTTACTCGCCCAGGTGACTAAAGAGAACCTCCACATTCCAAGGCAGTAAACCTCTGAATACCAGTGCCAGGAGGCAACCTTAGGGGAAAGCTTTGGCCTCTATTCCCCACTGTTGGCCCTCCAGAGGAACTGGTCTAATCCAGCAGGGACCTTCTTATGCTCTTACGAAATGTAGATGTGTTTTGTATGTGTGCCTACCCAAGTGGGAAAAGTCAAGTAGGAATTGGCCCACGCAACCACTCTGTATCTGGTATCACCCTCTACCCCTGGCTCTTCCTTTATCCTCTTTTTCACCATCACAGTTTAGAATTGTAAACTCCTCAGGGCAGGGATCAATATTTTTAGTGCTCATCTTGTTATGCTAATCGATTCTTGCTTTAGTACTGCAGCTGTTCTGTTTTTATGTTTAGTTGTGTTTTTATGACAGCTGTCATAGGAAATACTTTAAACTTTCTTAATTCCCCCCCTTGTTTTACTGTTAATAGTTTTCACAGCATCACTGTAAAGTGCCTGAAGCATTAAAAAAAAACAGGGCACTACAGGTTCTAAATATTTTAAATACATAATCCAATTAAATAATACTTTTTTTTTTTGCTTCTTTCAATCCACTGTCAAACTGGGCTTTTACTGTGTGAACTGGCAAAATCCAGTTGGAAAGTGTATTGAAAGTGGACTATTTAGTGTGCGTGACCGCAGCCTTTGTCTTTAAAGCACCAGACACATCGGTGATGCTATGTAAATTAATCCTACCACATAATCTCTCTTGATCAGAATCTAAATCATTACCTGGCCAATTGCAATATGTACCTTCATGGCAAAAGAGGTCCACGCAAATTAACAGAACACTGCATAAAAACATACGTTCTTCTCTGTTAGTTTTCAAAGGGTCCTCTTCTTGTGTGCGGGTCTTCACTAGTCAGTTGGATGTAGTGCATAATTTTATGCTCTTCCCACACTTCTTACCCAAAATGAATTTAGCGCTAATACTTTATAGCCCCACCACCACCCCGATGGAGTCAGGCAAACAGAGTGACCTGTTTTGAAATGGTATAAGAGGTCCAAAGAGGCATCAGGAATGTTTCGCTGTAGCCACTTTCAAAGTCATGGTGATGCAAAATGCTGTATTTCGTACGATAAAGAACAGCAGGACGGCCATAAAGGAGGTGTTTATCTGCAAGGTAATAAGAAGGAGGCATGGAACCAAAGAGTTAAAAACACCCATAACAGCTGTTTTGTAAAGGAGGGGAAAAGAGATACCACATAAAGTCCTTAGGCCCCACACCCCGATGTTCAGAGAAACTTTACTGCATTGCTGTTCAGAGCCAGCATAACACAGAAGTAAAGAGAAATTTGGGAAGTCCTTCATTCAAATCTCACCATTGTTATTGACTCACTATCTGGCCTCTGGGACACTTCATTAATTAGGCCAGGTATGCAACTGAATGTATGCAGAGGGAGCTGTGGCTCAGTGGAAGAGCACCTGCTTGGAATGCAGGAGGTCCCAGGTTCAATCTCTGGCACCTCCAGTTAAAAAGACTGGGTAGCAGGTGATGTGAAAGACCTCCGCCTGAGACCCTGGACAATGGCTGCCTGTCTAAGCAGATAGTACTGACTGTGATGGACCAATGGTCTGACTCATATTAGGCAGATTCATGTGCTCAATCTGAGGCCCCTGATAAGGGTATCCATATGATACCCTTACACCTGCTTGTAAACAGATACTTTACATTTTATGTACACACATCTTAGTTACACACCTGAAAACGTAATGTACAGAGCTGCCCTTGGAGAAGTCACTGTCTCAACCTCCCATCTATAACACGAGGATAATAACATTCACCTGCTTTACAGGGTTTGCAAGGAAGCTGCACAGAAGGCCATGGGAACAAAGTACTGCATAAATACAAAGTCTTATTAGAGAGCCAGGGTGGTGATCTGGTTAGAGTGTCAGTTTCGAATTCCCATTCTGGTTCAGATTTCCACTCTGCCATGGAAGCTTGCTGGGTGACCTTGGGCCAGTCACAGACTTTCAGCCTAACCTACCTCACAGGGTTGTTGTGAGGATAAAATGGAAAATGTTGTGAGCCACTTTGGGTCTCCACTGAGACCCAAATAGTGGGGTTTAAATGAAGCAAATAAATAAATAAATAAATCAGTGCCTTCAACTGATTACTGGCATTTGAACTGATGAAGCTGCATTTTTATTGGTTGGCTAGATCTAAATCTATTTGCTTACCACCAATATATCAAAATAAATACCTTTTTTCAAATGGTGAAGTAAACATAACATACCATTTACAGATCGACAGATCACATTTATTTTGCAGTTCAAAGAGGTCCAGTTAATAGTCTGGCAATACAATCCTAAAAAGAGTTACTCCCTTCTAAGCTTATTGACTTGAATGGATTTAGAAGGTTGTGACTCTGTTTAGGATTGTACTGTAAATGTACCTAAGCAGGTGATACACTCAGCCTTATGGATGGGGGACTAATTGGGAATCACATGCAAGTATAATGTTTTTAATATTTTCTACGCTGATACTTCAGATTACACATCAGAACCCCCACATACCTTCAAAGACAAACAAGAGAATCCTTAACGCCCAGTAATTTACCTGATGGATTAATCTATTTGGATTGGGGCAGCGTGCCATTTCCCCTATACAAATCCTTCCCAAAGTGCAATGAGCATTATTGATTAGAAATATAATTGGGGCAACAGGAATGGGGAGGGGGCATCAAACCCACTCCAGTACCAAGGCTCCAATCCAGATCGGGTCCCCTGCCGTGCCTTTTTAATGTTAACTTTGCACTATAAAACACTGCATTGCACTGACTTTGCCTTGAGTCTTGGTGAGAAAGGTGGACTATAAAGTAAATAAAATAAAGAATCAAGTCATCTAATCACAGATCTCCCATGCGGTGCTCCCTCTAAGCTGTGGAGTCTTGTGAGCAAAAATTCTACTTTGTGAGCTACTGGCATTAAAGTTGCAAGAGCCAGAGGCTGAAAAACTGTGAGCTAGCTCACACTAACTCAGTTTAGAGGGAACACTGCTCCCATGCAACCTATAGTTTGATTCCAAGGCTTGCAGGACGAATGATTATGATTGTTGCTGCATAAAAGGAAAGGAATAAGGAACAAATCTGCATTGTTTCCTCCCCACCTCGGTTCAGATACTCCCTTGGGGGGGAAATAAAGACAGACCTGATGCACATAGTGGGTTGGATCCTGGTGCAAAAGGGAGCTGACGGTCCCCTTTGGCCACCAAAATGCTGGGGATGATGGGACCTGCGTGGACAAAAGACACGTGAGAGGGGGACTGTAGCATGGAGGGAAATTTGGGGAGATCGATAGAGAAAGCTGGCTGGGTCCAACCTGTACTGTACAAAGCTCTGCTCTGTTCTGCACCCAGCAGGGCATGCTCGACCTGAGCTTTCCTGCCAACCAGTTATCTTGATTGCCAGAAGAAGGTAGCCTGATGTATTCTGTAGGAGAAGGCAATGTGGGACTTGCCCTAATATGCAGGAAGGGTTTACTAGGGGAACAACTACCCCAGACAGGCTGGATTAAGTGCTAAGGCTGCTCCTATATATTGCAATAGTTCCTCCAGGTCAACAGCAAAATTCTAATATTTGCTAGATCACAGTCTGATTCTATGGCAGCATATCAATGTTTAGGGGGGAAAGGTATGATTGACATATATGTCACAAAGCAGGACATTAGGTCAGCACATGGCAGCGATATTTTGAAAGAGCAGAGACGATTAACATCGGCATAATTCCGAATCACAGTGGTATCGAGTAAAAACTAACTACTATCGGTGGATTCTTACTAAATGCCATATTAAATCTTTAAAGCTGAACTTTTAAGGATGGTTTGGGAATCAAATTTAACCTCAGTATTAAACTCACTGAGCAGCCTTGAGCACATCAAATTCTCTCTGCCTTGATTCCCGAATTGTAAAATGGAAACATTAGGGGTTCTGCCTCATAGTGAGACCAGAAAAGACTACAGGTCTCATTGAAAGAATCCACATGCACACACGCTCCTGGGAATACTCTACAGTTGATTATGTAATAATATTTAAAAAATAAAAATAAAAATTATGGTTAAAAAAAGAAGTCTGAAGATTTGCCTGGTATGTCAACGTCCTTGCCACTTAAATTACAGCCTAACCTGAACATGAGAAAATAAAGATTTTATGTATGGAATTTGCCACTGTGGCCTTACCTTCTGTTCCTTTGACATGAAGACGCCTATTGAGTTCGTCCAACTTATTCTACGAAAAAGAGAAAGACAGTAGCAGATCAGGAGCTGAACTAAAAGAACCTTCTCTTGTGTCCCCATTGCAGCTGTTTATCTAGTAAATCAATGCTACTCCTGTGAAAACTGCTGTTGATAATGATTCCTAATTTGTGAAAGCTATGCTATACTGCCCAGTACAAAGGTCTGCTACATTTCTAGCACAATAAAGAATCAGAAGAGATGCCCAAACTTCTCTGTCTGAGGCCTTTTGTAGCAGCAGCAACACTCTGCTATTTTATGCAGTGTTAAGTCCACTTCACACTACCGTGCTGACAATGTTCACCGTATGCATCAGTGCACAGGCATGTGATGAGGCTGCTAGGTGATTTCTTGTTCCCAAGATCCATTCCAGCCTACTTATGCCAGGCAAAGAAGTTGTATAACAGAACTTGCAAGACTTTTTCATCAGGCAAGACATAAAATACCACCTGTCCAGGACTCTCACTACTTTCCAGGATTTTTCACTCACTAGGAACAAATGGAGGAACATCTCATTTTCCCCTTGTATCCCTCTCCCCACACTATTTCCCATTGCCCTCCCCCCAGAAGCTCCAGAGTCTGCCTCTTTCCTGCTTCCTTCTCTCCTTCCCACCCACCAGCCAACCTTCCTTTATCTGACCCACCCAGTCTACAGGTGTCCCTTATTCCTTCCTCTTGGCAGCCTCTTTCTTCTTCCATCCCACCCACCAAACATCTTTTTCTATTCTCCCCCCCCAGCTTCTCCTTATTCTCTTCCCTTTCCCTGCTTCTTTCCCTCCGTTTCATCTTGTACCTTTTTCAGTATCTTCCCAACTGACTGACAGAACCAAGGATTGGAAGGCATAGCAATATTGTTGCAGTTGCCTAGAAACCTCCCCCCAAAAAAAACAACCACCAAGACTGCAGAATGGTGTCTCTCAAGATCCCAGTGGACTACAGATGTTGTTTCTACCACCCTATTATTTTGTGTTGTTGTTGTTCAGTCGCACAGTCGAGTCCGACTCTTCGCGACCCCATGGACCAGATCCCGCCAGGCCCTCCTGTCTTCCGATGTCCTCTGAAGTTTGCTCAGTTTCATGTTCGTTGCATCTATGACACTGTCTAACCATCTCATCCTTTGCCGTCCCCGTCTTCTTTGACCTTCAATCTTTCCCAGCATCAGGGTCTTCTCCAGTGAGTGCTCCCTTCTCATTGGGTGGCCAAAGTATTTGAGCTTCAGTTTCATTATCTGGCCTTCCAGGGAACAGTCAGGGTTGATTCCCTTTAGGATTGACTGATTTGATCTTCTTGCAGTCCAAGGGACTCTCAAGAGTCTTCTCCAGCACCATAGTTCAAAAGAATCTATTCTTCGGCGCTCGGCCTTCCTTATAGTCCAACTCTCGCAGCCATACATTTTTTAGATTTCATTTTTTTCTATAAACCTTCAGCTTTGCTCAGGTGTGTAGCACCGCCCCCCGCCCCCCGGTCTGTTCCTTGCACCACTGTCCGGATTTTTGGGGCAAGCTGGTTGACAATGAGGTATAATGATAATACAGTTACATGAAAACTGGACCTGTTTGCCATTTCAGCAGCCAGAGACAAAGGTTCAAGGTTTTGGTATTGACCTTCAAGGGCTTGAGCAGCCTGGGACCCACATAACTTCAGGACCGCCTCCTCAGGTTTGTCCCCAAAAGAGCTGTAGGCTCTGCTGAGATCCACAGACTGGTGATCCCTGGCCCCAAAAGATATCCAGCTGTCCTCAACCAAAGCCAAGGCTTTTTCAGTCCTGGCTCCTTCCTAGTGAAACTCTCTGCCAAACGACACCTTGGGTCCCGTGGGACTCGATGCAATTCCACAGGGCCTGCAAGGCAGAGATGTTCCACCAGGCTTTCGGTTGAGGGCAGTGATGGGAACCATCCTGGCTGGCACTCCCTATCCTTTTCCCAATTCCTTTCCCATCTTTCCTAATACCCCCCAGCAATGCTCCCTCTAAGCTGTGCAGTCTTGGGAGCAAAAATTCTACTTTGTGAGCTACTGGCATTAAAGTTGTGAGTGAGCAATTTGGCTGCTGCATAACTTAGTCTGCTCTGGAGCCCTCCTTCCTGAGCTAAGACAAAAATGTGTGAGCCGGAAGCTAAAAAAGGGGGAGCTAGCTCACACTAACTCATCTTAGGGGGAACACTGCCCCAGCCCCTCCTGTGGGGTGGCGCACGGTCTGAAAAGTGGCATGCCCATCAGCTTATGTTAACACCATCTGAAAATTGCTTTAATCTAAACTGATTTGTTTTATTGTGTTTTATTGTTTGATGTTTTAGTGTTTTGCCGTTCATCACCCAGAGCCCTCAGTAATCATGGATTGGGCGATTCATAAATCTAAGTTATAAATAAATAAAATAAAAACCTTTATCGATTGTTATGCTGATATTCTGGCCTGATGTTTCTATTTGCTTTTCATTTATATGTTTTTATGGGTTTCACTGCCATTGCCTAGAGCTAACTTGATATAATGATTCACATTCTCATTAGCCAGAGATACCCCTTATTTATAAAGTCATGCTAGCAATGAATGATAATGAAGTTCTTCGGAGTCTGTTTAATTAAACAGTCAGCAGCTACCCACCCGCACGGTGACCATTTCTGTCCATATATATTATAAAAATACAAAATTTATTAGGGTGTACACATATTAAAATATATTCGGGTTAAAA